TAAAAAAGAACTGTAAGTAAGGTTGAGTATCCCTATATGAAGAAATGCAAACATGGATGTATGCAAATTAAAGCTACCTAAACCAACTTGAACTTAAAGTTACATGCTCCTTTTGGCTGTCAGACATTTACGGACATTGCTTAAATTGATTGACAGGACACAAGAGTATGTCTTACCCCTTAACCCAGCCATGCAGGCTGCTTTCTGTCAAGTGACATACTCTATCAAGAAAATGTCAAGTATGTCAAAAAGGCCACCGAAAATTGGCCCACTACTGCATCTCCTCATCCATAAACTGTGCTTTATAGAGTGACGGAGAAAGAAGAGTCTGATGGACATTTATTTTTGACAAAAAGACATTCTTTTTTTTAAGGCCAAAGAATTCTGTAATTTAATTTCACAAATAGCAAATAAAAAGCCAGTTAAGTGCTGAATGATATGTTGTTACAGCCTCGATTCCAACTGGCTACGGCTGCTTTCGGCCTGTGAGTCACTTCTCAATTGGTGTCTTCCTGTTTACGCTGCAGCCGGCCAATAGCGTTTGATCCCGCAGCTGAAAGACTCAATAGTGTTTCGTCTTTGCCAACAAAGACGTGGGGGGGAAAGTCTCAAATAAATAATTCAGCTGGGAGTTATTCTAGCTGTAGTCTGCACCACATCCCTCACACAGGCACACAGAGGCGCAAACAGGTCTCGTTTACATCCCGTGGACACACACTGAAGTCTGCTCTGCATCCCATGTAAACACACAGATGCACATTCACACGTCATGAAATATTTTTAAGTCAAAGTTGATTATAGAGGGTTTGCATGTGTCATATTACACATACCTATGTTCAGTAGGAGTAGCTAGAAGTTTGAAATGAAATTGATCCATCCATAGATTGCCATTTATTGTTTTTGATCAGGAAAGATTCATTTAATTTTTGGATATCAAATGACTTTTTTCTGCTTTTGCCCTTAAATTGAAATAAGCTGTAATTAATTGTAAAGTAGATGAAGTTAAATGTACAATACATAATTTCTGCTGCTAGGTTTCGTGACGTTGTGAAAGAGCATGGATCATGGGAATTGTTGTCTTTACCACTATTGTTGTCATTAGTCCGCTTCTCCCTGTTAGGATTCCTTCAGTGTTCATTCTTCAGGAGGTTTTTACTGGGGGCCGAATTATCCGCAGAGGTCTCCTCCTCTCGAAAACAAACGGACTTGCTGATTAAAACTAGTAAAAACACTGAATAAAACAATTTAACCTTAAAAATCTGTGTTTCTC